AGTTTAAAAAAAAAAAGGAATTTGTTCATAGTTTTTTTTTTTTAAACTATAGTCCGCCCCTCCGACGGTCTGAGGAACGGTGAACTGGCCCCCTGTTTTAGAAGTTTGAGGACCTCTGCGAGTCATCCTTATCTCCTGTGTCTTCCTGTATCTTGCTTTAGAAAGTTTCCCCACTCAAGCCTATTAAAATATTTTTCTCTAATGCTTTCATTTTTAAAAAAATTCTTAAATCCAGATATATTACTTTTTGTATTTGGTGTGAGGTCAAGATTACCTTTATTTTTATTCATCTAGATAAGCAATTCTCCCTCAAATCTTTTACTGATTGATCTGTTCTTTCTCAGGGAATAGTCTCTCCGTTCTATTTTTATCACTTGCTTATTCTTGGCCAACACAACTGTTTTGGCTGCTATAGTTTTTTGGTATTTTTTCACATCTGGTAAGGAAAGTCTACCATCGTTTTTTCTCTTTTAAAATGTTTATGGTTAACTTTGAAAAAATTTTTTTCCAATGGAGCTTGAGAGTCAGCTTTAAAATTCTTCATGAACATTTTTCTATTTAACCATTTGATCCAGTACTCCCAGGTTCCAGGAATCTATACCGAAGATACACTGGCACACACACAAAGACAAACTCAAGGACTAGTCCAGTAGAAATGAGAATCTCTAAAGCCCCGCCTCTAGTCTCCAAACATCATTACCCACTAAAGGGAACCAGGAATTCTTGAAGAAATGGTTGATTTTAGGTATACGGCAGGGAAGACTTGGGCTTACAACATCCTCTCATGACAGAAAACAATGAAGATGTTAAAGATCACTAAGGGAATGCCCAAGAGAATCAGGAGCCATTTTGAAGAGGCTCTGTCTAGCCAAATAAAGGACAAATTGAGTATCAATATAAAAAATAATTGATATTAATTTAAATATATCAAGTATAGTATATACCAGGTGGGGTCACCCATAACCTGGAATTTACTTATAAAAAATTGTGTATTTATTCTTTTTTGTTTTTTTGAGTTGGAGTCTCACTCTGTCGCCCAGGCTGGAGTGCAGTGGCAAGCTCATAGCCACCCCGCGGCCACTCCAGCATCAACCTGCTGTGCTCCGGTGATCCTTCCTTCTCAGTCTTCCAAGTAACTGGAATTACAGGCATGTGCTACCACGTTTGGCTAATTTTTTTTTTTTTTTTTTTTGTAGAGACCAGGTCTCACCAAGTTGCCCAGTTTGGTCTCGAACCCGCGGGCTCAGACAATTCACTCACCTCGGCCTCCCAAAGTGCTGGGATTACAGGCTGAGCCACTGAGCCCAGTCATGTATTTATTCTTACATGTTTAAACTTCAGTCACATTCAAAGTATTCTCCATTCGATGCAATATACCTATTGAGATGTTTTCCCACTGTTCAGTTTTTGAGCCCATCAATTTTGATGACTTTTAGTGCTTCTGCCGTGTTCTGTTTCACCTCTTCCACACTGGTAAAACATTTCTCTTTGTAGACTTTTTTCTTCCAGGGAAACAAAAAAGAAGTTGCTGGGACAAGATTGGGTGAATAGGGAGGGTGGGGCATGGGGTCATGCTTTTTTTTGGTCCAAAACTGCTGAGCATTCAGTGCAGTGTAGGTAGGCGTGTTAGTCAATCACCCATCATGAAATGGGCAAACGTGTTGAATCTCCGAAAAAATATTCACTGAAGCCATGTAGCCTCCCACAACAATGCTAGCTGGTACAATGATGCCAACGGGCTTCTAGAACACTTATC